GATCACAGAGCGAGAGACAAGAAAGGTAAGGCTCACCAAGCCATCCATCTCTCCGCCCCTCAGTCAATCCCACCTGCGTTTATCAGCCAGGCTGGTACAATAATCTGTCTCATACCCAGAATGCTGTCCTTCTCCAAGGCCTCTTTTGATAACATGTCCAAATTTTCTAAGAGAAGATCTCTCCAGCCTTGCCTCAAAGGAGCACTCTAGCCAGCCTTCCAAGACAAATGTGCTTGTCCTTTGGGCAGTCCGGGGTCCTGTCGATGCTCTTCTCCGGCACCACTAATGAAACACTGAGTCTTCAAACGTCTTCTTTTTTCAGTGTCCAACTTTCTCATGCAGATGAGGCAATTGAAAATACCATGGTGTGTGTCAGGGACCCTATAGTCCTCAAAGTAACATCCTTGCTTTTCAATCCTCTCAAAAGGTCCTGTGCAGTAGATTTACCCAATGGAATTCATTTTTTGATCTCTCAGCTGCTGCTTCCATGAGCATTGATTATAGATCCAAGCAAGCAAAATCCTTGACAATATCAATCTTTTCTCCATTTATTATGATGTTACTTATTAGTCCAGTTGTGTGGATTTTTGTTTTCTTTACATTGAGAGGTAATAATACTGAGGTCTGCAATTTTATATCTTCATCAGAAAACGCTTGAAATGCTCCTCACTTTCAGCAAGCAAGGTTGCTTGCTAGTTAATAAGCCTTACTCCAATCCTGATGCTAAATTCTTCTTCACTCCACCCGGTTTCTTGATTCCTTGCTGAACATATATTGAACAAGTATGGTGAGAGGAAACCCCTGGTGCACACCCTTCCTGATTTTAAACCACTGCAGTACTCTTACTCCCTGGTTCTCTTCTCACAGCTGCCTCTTGGCCATATATACGCTCTGCACGAGCACAATGTAGTGTCCCGGGATTCCCATTTTCCTAAGGCAATACATAATTTGTTATGATTCACACTATTGAATGCCTTTGCATCGCAATAAAATACAATTAAGCATTTTTCTGTTAGTCACGTCTTTCAGTCAAGATCCATCTGGCATCAGCTGTAATAGTCCTTGTTCCATGTCCTTTACTGAATCCAGTCTGAATCTCTAGCAGCTCCCAGTCAATGTCCTGTTGCGTGCATTGCTGGATGCTCTTCATCCAAATTTTGCTTGCGTGTGATATCAATGATATTATTCTACAATTTGAGCATTCAAATCCAGTGATGGAAGATAATGCTACAGTACGTATCTGAAATCAACCACTTTCACCTGAACAATCTCACCTAAGCAATCTACTAGATCTGAATTCACAGAGCATAAAGCTGCTGACCACCGTAAATTAGTGCATTGAAGAAAGCCATATTTCCAATGCCTGACTAAGCTCATTGTAACTCTAAGGATGACTGAGAGGCTTAGAACATCTGTGAATGGGGAAGTCTGCAGTTATCCTATGCCAACTCTGCGGGGGTGCTCTTGGTAGGTAAAGTCCTCGCAACATACCGATGAAAAGATAGCAAATCCACTGGTCAATTTGATATCTGGGGAGTCCATAATCTTGAGGACCACCAATCTAATTTCTCAGAACAGACCTAAAATCTTGAAGCACAAAACTCTTTGTGCAGTCCAGTGTTGCCACCTATAGTTACAGGAGTAGATTTGGACAGCCTGATCCAGGTGGCGCCACAAGGTCATACTGCGCAGATGCTGCACAACTGAAGGAACTCCTGTAACCCATATACAAGCCACTGGGCAGGTGCCATGCCAACGAAGCAACCTGCAGGGCAGTTCTGTGTGAGGACATTATTTGATCTCATCCAGATTAAAGCAAATGACATAGGCCATGAGGTGATTGTTTTCATCAGGGACGGACATCTTCCACAAGCATCCCACTAAGTGCTATTCTGTGTGAGAAGTTAGACTTGTGAGGTGAGTCAGTATTTGAGCAGCTGGGATTAGGATCACCGGGGAATAAGCTGAAAGAATGGACATAAAGATGAGTCACCTGGGAACTTGCTGGAAGGACTTTATCACGGAAGTCTACAGATACAGCACCCTCAGCTTACTACCACAGTGAAGTGATTTCGTTAGAACGCATCAGAAACTCAAGGGTTTGCTAACAGGGCTTGCGGTTTGGGAACCAAGGATATTGTCAACACCGGCTTTCAAACAGGGTTATATTTATTGTGCTTTTCCAACATTATATCCTGTCATAGCCAAAGAAAAAATATGATTTAGATATTAAATGTAAGAAGACCCATATAGGAAAATGGCAAGTGCAAAATTCTTAAGACAAGAGTGAATCTAGTATATTCCAGGAAGTGAAGGTTAGCCTAATTTTTTGCTTTAATTTCCTAGAATAGAAGAAAAGTCATTATTTACTGGTGGCTTTTTAGTATTGTTTCTATGCAAAAATAAGCCATATATTTGGTCCAGACACATCTAAGTTATTCTATCAATACTTACCTGGCAGGGGATAGACCATTATCCCGAAGGTGGTTTTCCCAGGGTCAGACCTATCCATTGTACTCCGGATGTGCTGACCCCTGCGAAATCCCGAATTGTGGGAAACTCGACTGCATCATTTGTGGTCGTGGGAGACTGCATTAGTGCTTTCACCTACAAATAAATAAATAAGTTATTCTATCAAATGAGAAGAGAAACAATTTATCTAGACGTGGCATGAAGGAAGTCATTAGTATGCCTCCGTGGTGAAAGTCCCACATTTCTCCGTGTGGAAAGTATCCATTCAAGAAAAGGAAAGTCCGAGGAAGCTGGACTAATTCCGTATGAAAACATGCAAGTATAGGCATGCTCCTAAAACGGATGGAGGAAGGAGGGCTAGATTGATAGTTACATTTCCCAAAATAGAGAAGAGAATTGTGTTTCTATAAATCAGGGGATCATGCATGTGTTTAAAAAAAATGGTATTGTAAGGATTCAGGGGATAATTCTCCTGTCTCTTAATATGTACTGTCCCCGCCTCTCTTTGAGGGACCATAGAGTAAAATAAGGCATATGTAAGGGGGATTCACTGCCCTACAGGAACCACCCTCACTTCCCATTCAGTTTCTGCTTTGATCACGTCCATCTCTTCCTTCAATTGTAGACACATTTCCCCTTTAGCAGCTTTGGGACAGCAGTGGAAGGGTCAAAGGTTAGAAGAACATGGGACCATGTGGGGAGATTCTGTGCTCATCAGAACTGTTTCTAAATGAGAATGGGTTGCGGGTTTACTGGCCAGAGGGAATCCAAGCAAATGACAGCATTTCTCCAAGTTAATGAATAATAGATGTAGATGGGCTAATAGTGCATCAGTGCATTTCAATGCAACAGAAGGATCACAGAAATGAAAATAAGTAAATAAGATAAACTACTTGGTAGTTATGGTAGTTCCAGAATATTCAATGCAACACTTTGGTGCGTGCAAATAAGTTTGTAACCCATACTTTTCTTCATACATGATTATGTATTTATATAGACATATATGAGGCAAAGAGTATATTTAGCATATTGCTTTTTCTGATGTAATTTATAAAATTAAATCTATTTGGAGAAAGGTAGTAGCAGTCATCAAACTATGCTGATACCAAAGTTGGCTAACATGTGGCCAGGCTCTATGAACTATAAAAACCTGGAGGTTTAGTTCTGATCTTGCGCTTTTGAAGTTGTCTGGAACTCCTACCGCTTTGCCCCAAAGAACAATTTGTTAAGATACTAAAGAACTTTATAAAGTCTTTTGTCCTTGATCCTTTAGCAAGGCCAGGAGTTCCCAAAGTACCCAGGCCAGTGGACAGCCAAACAGTTGGATGCGCTCTCCAGACCACTGAATATATTTACACGGGCCCTCTTAATGCAGAACTCTATCATCAGGGCTATAACATGTACTGGTTACTAGAAATGCAAACAGATAGCTTAACTTGATAATAGGAATAGATAATGCCTTGCATGATATGTCATCATCATCTTACCATACTCTAATGAGTAAAGGTTAACTCACTAGATTAAAATAGTGGAATCTATTAATAAAACATACTGAGGTGAGGAATGTACATCTGAGTTTAAAAAGAAATGCACTTGAATGAAAATTGCATTGATATTTGGGAGGTGTGATTCTACATGGAGTACAATTTGAATACATTGTTGAATGGTCGAAAAACACATATAAAATTTGGATTGGTTTCCTAGGGCTGCCATAAAAAAGCGGGGAGCTGAAAACAGCAGACATTTATTCTCACACAATTCTGGATGGTTATTCTTGTGGCACTGTCTAGTTGCCTTCAACTAGTATCAACTAGTAGCAAATCTATATATGTACATATATATTTTAACCAAACACTGCCCAACCCTGTCCAATCCACACAGTGATGCGTGGACCGATAGGGCAGACACTGTTTTGATTCACACCATCGAGGATCTTCTTCTTTTTCACTGACCTTCTACTTTACCACGCATGATGTCCTTTCCCAGGGACTGGCTCCTCCCCATTCCATGTTCTAAGGAACATTTGGGCTGCACTTTTTCCAAGAGAAATTTGTTCATTCTTCTGGCAGCGCACGATATATTCAACATTCTTCGCCAATACCGTGATCCAAATGCATCTATTCATCTTTGGTCTAACATTCATTATTCTGATTTTTAATGAATATAAGGCAATTAAAATCACCATAGCTTGGGTCAAAAGCATCTTAGTCTTTCAGGGACATGAGTGTAAAATCATAGTTTCTGCAAGACTGTGTTCTCAAGAGAGTTTGAAAGGAATACAAGGGGGCACCAAAACAAACAAGCAAGCAAGCAAGCAAAGCTCTGTAGGGCTGAGCTTTTGCAGTATGAATTTTTTCCAGCTAGACGAGCATCCAGCAACTCACTCTGAGTTAGTGCACCCAGTGGCATCACCTGGGAAGTCTCTCTCTGGTCACAGTAAATTTTTTTGTAAAAGCAGTTTTGCTCAAACCTCATTTTTTGTGATGGGTGATTTAAGAGAACAGCGTGCTGCTGTGAAATATGGTTTCCTGCTCAGGGAAAAAAGTCCCAGAAACTGTTGTGATGTTGAACACAGCTTACAAGAACAGCACTCTGAGAAAAACTCAAGTGTACAAGTGGTTTTCTCTTTTCAAAAAAGGTGAAATGTCAATTGATGACAAACCTCTCTCTGGATGTCTGTCAACTTCCCAAATGGACAAAAATGTTGACAAAATTCATGCACTTATGCTCGAGGACCAGCGATGGACCATTGAAGAGATGGAAACGCTATCTGGACTATCTTGGAGCTCGGTTCGGCAGACTGTAATGGAAGATTTGAAAATGAGAAGGATTGCTGCAAAATGTGTGCCTTGGGTTTTGACTGACCAGGAAAAGGAGCTTCGAATGGAAACATGTCATGTTTTGAAAGAACAACTCCAAAGCCATTACCGATGACAAGGCCATTACCGATGACAAGACATGGTGCTAAATCTTATGACCCCTAACACAACGATCGATCAAACCCGTGGAAGATGCTATTATCACTTCTCCCCCCTGCCCCCCCAAAAACCAAACATCTCGTCAAGTAAAATCAAAGAGCAAGATGATGTTCATTTGGGTTTTTTTGATGTGAGGAGGGTAATGCACTTGGAGTTCAGTCCACCAAATCAAACTGTTAATCAAGCTTTCTATTTAGAGGTTCTGAAAGGATTGTGTAACAGGGTGCTGCAAAAGAAAAATCCCTGATTTGAGGTAAATGGGGGACTGGTTTTGCAACGTGACAATGCCCCTGCTCATGCAGCCATCTCTGTGTGCCAGTTTGCGGCAAAAACATTAGGCCTGTCTTGTCCCCACACACCTTACTCACATGAGCTCACCCGTGTGACTTCTTTTTGTTTCCACTAATGAAGAGGGACATGAAAGAACAGAGATTTCATGGTGTAGAGGAGGTGAAGAAAAAAATGAGGGAGGTGCTGTCAGCCCTCCAAACAGATAAGTTTGAAAAATGTTTCCAAGAATGGAATCGCAGATTTGACAATTGCATTACATGTAATGGAGAGTGCTTTGAAGGTGATAAGGATGTTTTATAAAAAAAATTCAAAGACATAGGTCTTAAAAAAAAATTCTGAATTTTTACATATTTTTATTGGCAACTATTCCACATATCATAAAATTCAATAGCTTAATCATATCAGGAAGAATTGTACAAGCATTACCACATTCAATTTTAAAACCTCTCACACACACACCCATGTTTAAATCACTTTTAAAATGAGTCAGGTAATCATAAGCAGTTCTAGTGCTCCATCCCCCCCTCCCACCTTCATTGGTTACTCCCCAAATTCCCTCACTGTCCCTATCTCTCATTCCCCATCCCTACATCCATATAAGCCCTTGCTAACAGTTATTATCTCTATGCATCTACTCCTTTGCTTCACAAACTGGGAAACCCAGTAGAAACAATAAAAAATGGAAATAAATTGATAAGGATAAAGTAATAATAATATAAAGATAAAAATCCAAATCAGGAGAAATAAGGAAAAGACCACCCTCAATATAAAAAAACAAAGTCAAGGAAGAAATGTTTGTCATGGAACATTCAAGAGATACTTGCACCCAGAAGAAATTCAGGGTAGGTCAAGAGGGAGGTCACCTGACTAAGTATTACGTTTGATCCAGCATAATCAAAATTGCAATGACCTCTGTCTTATATAGTAAGGCTGTACAAGACCCTCACCTGTGACAAGTGGGGTCTGCCAGTGGCTTAATCTGGCTAGCTACTCCGCAGCTAGGTTTGGGGCTCCCCCTGTCCTCCTCGCCTTCTACCAATTGGGTATTCATAATTTGAGCTCTAATACTTTCCCCTTCATCATATTTGAATTTTGTTATTGTCATCTTTGGATCCTACGAGCTGGTGTGTTTCTTCCACATGGACTTAGTTGACTCCTCATTTGGGTAGCTGCTTGTTTGAATATCAACCTTTAAGACCCCAGACTCTACTCCAATTGATAGCCAGGCACCATGTGCTTTCTTCACCCCACTTTGCTGTTGCACCTTTACCACCAGTGATCATTTCATGAAGGGGAGTCTTGAGCAGGGCCATGTGATCAGAAGGAATATATCCTTTTTCATCTCTCGCAGCTTCTGGCAGCTCCAGGTAGTCCTTGAGTTGCCACTCCAATATAACCTGTCTTTACCTAAGTCTTCACCCAGCTGTCTCCTCTCTTTCTCAAGGTCTCTTCCTTTTTTAAAGTACACCACTTTAGATGAGATCAGGACTGGACCCAGCAGTTGATGAGACACCTTAGCACTTTGGTCAAGTGACTATGTTTATGCGTCAGCAAACACATGTGTGTATGTGTATGTATATGGATGGGGATTCTCGTGTAAGATATTTTATGTCCTTAAAACATGATTTAATATGATCCATAAAAGGTCATGTGGATTAACGTTTGTTCAATTAAACTTGGCTACAGGTTGATGTGATATACTATGACCTCATCTTAAGGACCTCATTTCTAACACAAGGTCAATTCAAAGATACTCCAGGTAGGACTTCAACATAGGTTTTTTTAGGAAACCAATTCACTCTATAACAACACCCTAATAAAAAAAGTTAAAATGTGAGTTTTTTTAGTAGAATAAAACTTGTCTACACG